ATAAAAGGCAGTGGGTATGTTACTTAAAAGACAGATTTTGGCAGTAGAATGACTGGATTCAAATTCTAGCCCCAAGACAGCTGTAACCTTGGACAAGCTAATTGATTTGGCTCCTCTGTAAAATAATAGTATCTCCCAGATAGCTTGGTTGTGTGGATTAAGTGAGTTCCTATCTGTAATGTGCTTCTGGCTGTGCCTGGCTTATAGCAGTAGCCCAAATATTAGCTGTTTTTAGTAGTAGTGGTAGTTGACCAGCTTCACCTCATCTTTATGTTTTAATGTACTTAGCAGCATTACTTTTATTTGGATTTGTACAAAAGAGAGAGTATTATTTTTACTACAGTTTAGACCAAATTTTAAGTACTCAAAACAATCAATTTGTAGTTCTAAATGCTTTAAGGGTCAGTCATTTTAAGGAAGCTTTCTGAAAGCAAGATATTTATACCTTCTGTTAAAGAAAGTGCAGTTATAATGGGTGTGTTTAATTCGCGTCTGCCAGCCTTTGCCCAGATGCTAGCTCTGAGAGAATTGAAAGAAGGCTTTGCGGTTGAACCCCGTTGAGAGACACTGCTCCATGGAATGAATGACCAGCTGTTCTTTCAAGAGTTATTGGAAGTAGTATTCTTTTTTCCTCAGTTCATCATTCAGATCTACAAAAACTGTTTCAGTTATTCTGTAAGCTAATGGAGCAGAGTTTGTATTTCAAGTTCTAGATTTCTGCTGATTTTGACATAACATTTCATTCAAGAGTTTATATATTCTTTAACAAAATGGACAGTGATGTTGAGCAAGTTTATTATGCTTCAATTTTCATTTTTATGTTAGTTGGGATAGTAGTACCCTTCCTTCATTTTTCCTGTGAAAAGGGAAATCTGATGGGCTGAAGCTGCTGTTAAACACCCAACATTTTTCCATGAACGTTGTAGCTTGAGTGTTTTTTTTTTTAACCACTGCAAATGTATACTTACCTTTATCCAGTCATTCAGTCACAAAAGTATTTGTCACTGACTGTGAGCTGAACACTGTGCTAGGCATTGAGGAACCAAAGGAGAGTAATCAGGGAACTTAAAGAACTTAGAGATCAATCATACTTACTGTAGGGCTGTAATTTTGAAAAGTGCCCCATTTCACTTTCAAAAGTTTCCCTGTTTGGGTGGTTGTCTTTCCAGTGGGTTTCAGCCCTGGGCCAGTTCACTATGGATTCAATGAGACCAAAGAAATGACAATGGAACGTTTTTGGGGTGAAAGGGTTTCTATCCAACATTACTCCCAGGGTGGCAGGCAGGTCAGTCACTAGAATCCCTTCCACTCAGAGCGAATCCGCTTGCAGCAAACCGGTCTCTGCCTCTGGGCCTCTCTGCCCCCGCAGCCGTCTCGGTCTCTGTCTTTGGCACTGCCACCACTGCAGTCTCTGCTCTCCTGCAGTTGTGTCACTCTGTCGCCCAGAGTACTGGACGGAGCTGTTTATATAGAGTCAATAGCAATGTATTGCCTACACGTGTGTAGTGAGTGAGCCACCCAGGGCCAGGTGAGAATCCTGGCCGTAGGAACCTTCACTTAATCCACAGTGGTATATTATATGATCACTTTAGCTGTGAGTCTAATGGAGAAGACAGACAGGTGGACAGCTGTAACATGATGTTGCTCTGTGACCGGAGGAGCACTCGGTACCTGGAAGGAGCCTTGAGTACCTAACTCAGCCCTGAGCTGGGGATCAGGCAATTTTTACCCCATAGTAAACACCTGATCTCAGTTTTTACTTTAAAGTTGATTATTCTCAACTGTTACCACCGTCTCTTAGTCTGGTGTAGAATCAAGGTATAGGAGAAGCAAAGGGGATCTTCTGGAGAAGTAGTTTTCAGACTTCCATTGCACATCAGAATCACCCTCCTAGGATTTAAAAAGTGCTGAGGTCGCCCTTATCTTCAGAGGTTCTGATTTAATTGGCCTGGGGGTAGGATCCAGACATTGGTAATTTTAAAAAGCTCAGATGATTCTAATGTGTGGCTAATATTTAGAATTTTGCAATTAGGACAAACTTGTCATCTAAGAGATGAGATAACTCCTGAGTCTAGAGAGTTCACCTGACTTGCCCTGCATCACACAGCTGGCTGGGTCAGCACAAGAATATCTGCCTGCTGATTTTTAGTCATAAACCCTTTCTGTTATAGCAGCCAGCTTGCCTTGCTTCAATACCTAAACACCATTGTTACCACCAGTGTCCCTGTGTGTGATTCTCCTTTTGGTATAGCCAGAGTGAGCTGCATAGCACTTGGTCTTGCCAGTGGGTTTCAGCCCTGGGCAAGTTCACTATGGATTCAATGTGACCAAAGAAATTGACAGCAAAACATTCTTTGGGGTGAAGGGGTTTATTACCCTGCTTGTTCTCCTGGCAGTAGGTCGCGTCTCTTCCTCCGCCCAGAGCATTGGGCCGAGCTCTCTATATAGTGCAATAGTAGCTTATTGCTCAAAGGTGTGGAAGCAGTAGCCTAGCAACAGGCCAGTTACATCATTAAGTTTAGTGAGGATCCTGGCCATAGGAACCCCAGCTTCCCACACACTTGTTCTCCAACTGTTGTTGATTAAGCTCAAGATAAACTAAAAGTTAAACTACTTCAAGAACTTTTTTTTCGTTAAAAATGACTAAATTTATCATGCTACTTAATTCTTTCACTTGCCTTCAAAATGTGTTATTGGAGCCCACCCCATTCCACCCCATATTGCCAAGAACCCAGTATATTTCCTAGTGGCACATGGACTTCAGAGCTCCAGTTATGATATCAGTGTTAAATAAATGGGCCAATTTCATGTCACTAGGTTCTCCCCACCTCCCCAGCTTTATTGAGGTAGAATTGGTGTGGATGAAATGAAAGTTCTGTGGCCAGAATTCTCACCTGGCCCTGGTTGTCTAGTTCACTACACGGGTGTGGGCAGTATGTCGTTATTGACTCTATAAAAAGAGCCCCGCCCAGTGCTGTGGTTGACATGATAGCACGGCTGCAAGGCTGCAGGAGAGCAGAGCAGAGGACGGCTGTGTGGGCAGAGAGGCCTGGAGGCAGAGACCGGCTTGCTGCATGCAGACTCGCTCTGAGAGGATGGGATTCTAGTAATTGACCTGCCACCATGGAAATAAGCTTGGGTATAAACCCTTTCACCGTAAGAACTTTCTACTGTCATTTCTTTGGTCACATTGAATCCATAGTGAACATGCCCAGGGCTGAAACCCATTGGCAAGACAATTATTAAGTAAAATTGTGTGTATTTAAAGTGTATGTGATGATCTCATGTAAGTATACATTGTGAAATGATTACAACTATTAAGTTAGCACATACATCACCTCACTAGCTGCCTTAAAACATTTTTTTGTGTGTGAGAATGCTTAAGATCTACTCTCAGCAAATTTCAAGTATGCAATACAATATTAATTATAGTCACCATGGCATATGTTAGAACCTTAGAACTTAGGAAGTTTTTAGGTTAAGAATACAATAGAGAAAAGCAAAAATTGGGTTTATTTCACAATGTTCTAATATTCATTCAGCCTTGTGCATATTTAATTGCCCAAATACTCTTTGCTTACTTTGTAAGTGTAACCCGCATGGTAAATGATGGTCCTTTATGTGTAGCTGCATGTGGCCACAGGTACAAGCTATGTATTGATCTATTAAAACCTTTGAGTATAAACAGCATTTGTATTTTTCAGTGCAAGAGTAAAATGGAATGAAAACATATACTTGTTCTTATGTAGTTCACATAGTTGTGAGTTTATGATTAGACTCATTGTAAACTAACATTTGTTGGACACCTGTGTGCCAGGCATTCATACTTAATAAAATTTGAGCTATAATATAAATAGTAGCATTATTAAGATTGTACTGTCTTTTTTTTTTTTTCTTCTGGCTTTTGTATTGAACATGACTAATTGATATACAAAAACAACAACAAAAAGGTTTGCTTTTATCTAGAAAATAGGTGTGTGTGTGAATAGTCAAGACTGATCAAACAGCAATAAAGTTTCAGATTTTTTTTGATACATGTTAACTGTGACCTATCATGATAGCTATTAGGTTGTATGTTTTAAGTTATATTCTTAATGGAAATGTGTTTTTTAGGTATTATATTTGAATATAGAGGATTACAACAGAATGGAATAAATGACTTCTTTAATATCTTTAATGGAAGATTAGTCTTTAGTAAGTATATAGGATAAGCATTTTATAAGTATCCCAGGGTTTTGTTCAGTCTTAGTTCAAACAACATTTGTGTCTGTCAATAAAACCTTGGGAAATAATGGTGCTGGGGAGGCCACCTACTGACAAATAGAGCAGTTAACTTTATCATTTTAAACAGACACCCTCTTCCCTTTATCCTCCACCCCAGACATATGATTGTTCCATGCATAGCAAAAAACAAAGCAGAACGAATGTGAAATGTGGCTTTAATATTGGTACATGCCCATGGGAAGGCTGTCAGGGAAACTAAGATCTTATGCTTTTTAATCATTGAATTTACAGAAAAGCATATTTAGAGCCATGTATATTTTAACTGAATTTCCAGTGTTAATGTGATAATGGAGAGAAAAATTTAAAAGTCTGTATTGAAAAAGAAGTTCAGAACTTGTACAGCTGAGAACATGTGATATTATTTAAAAATAAACATAGAAAAGGTTGACAAAATGTTGGTTTTCAAAAGTTATGAAAAAATGTAGCTTTAGAATTAGTATAGACAAAAGATCTTGAGTATTCCTAATTACTTCAGTATTCATCAAACCTTGAGTACTGTTCAGAAAATTATTGAAGTGTTTAACATAAAATGCCTTTGCACAAATGCAGAGTAAAGCATAAACAATACATATATAAAGAGCTTTACAATGTATTTGGATACAAGTTGTAATATTTCTTAACAGATGTTAATTTATATTGAAATCATTAGAGTTGTTTGGGAAATGAGTTCAAAAATAAGTTAAATAATACATTTTTCTTTTTGTGATATGTTAAAGGAGAAGTAAGTTCCAATGAGTGTGAAAACGTGTCAAGAGAAAAGGAAATGTCAGAAGAATTTGAGGACAATGCTATGGAGACTCTGGTAGATATGCCATTTGCTACTATAGATATTAAAGATGATTGTGAAAGTAAGTACTTTATTAAATATATATTTAGAAGCAATATATAGTAAAATTTAGTTATATATATATAACTAAATTTTACTATATACTTTGTATATATATATACTTTGTAATATATATATACTTTGTAATAAATTACTTCACCTTAAATACCATATTCTTGAGTTTGGGTTGTTAATAGTTATCAGTTGATATTCTATTGTCAAAGCTATCACAGATAATATTAGGACATGTCTCACAAAATTTGGGGTCAGATAGGTCTGTAGTTCATAAACTACTTTCAGAAAACAATGCGCCAGAACATTTCATGGTTTATAACCTCCTTTTTTAATTCTTGTGTAGCTGCTGCTGTTGTCAGCAGTACCCAATCATCTAACAAATGTTTCCTGGTTATGTGAGCCAGACACTTTGCTAGGCCTTGGGAGGGTTACCAGTGGACAAGACAGACGTTATTTCTTTCCTCATGAAGGTCAACAGGCTAGTGTTGAAAACCGTTAAACTTTTAATCAGTTATGCACTTATTAGATGGATTCAATCCCTGAGAGCTCCATTCCCAAACTTGAGAGAAGCAGTGCTTGTGCTTACTTGATTGACAAGGAACCACCATAAAAGTCTAAATCTGAATTTCATGTCGTTGTAAAAACAATACTGTATGTGATGTTTGGGGCTACCTCTGCTGAAGTAAAACAAGATTTGCTTGTTGGATTGTGAGTAGGAAAATAAGGAAAACAATGTGTTCTGCCAATGTTTGACTACATACTCTGTGCCACTCTCTTTGTGGATTTACATAAAACCTGGCTGTGATTTGATATAGCTTTATCTTGGAGGCTTCATAAGAAATTATTTAGTTTAGTGTCTTCATTTTGGAGAAGAGAAAGTGAGATTCAGAGAAGTATACCAACTGAATTCATACGATTGAAAAGAACTAGTTATAATGTCTATGATTTCTGATTTGTTAGTCATTTCTTTGATGATTAATTGGATGCCTGACAAATGCCAAGTACCATTGCCAGATATTGGGAATAATGAAACACATCATCAGGAAACCTGCAGCGTCACTGGGAGCAGCTGTAATCCCATAAGATGCATGCCATATAGGATGCTGTGGGAGAACAGGGGAGGAGGATGTGATGGGGGCATCTAACCTGGATGTGGGGTAAGAGGGTGTCCTGGAAGACTTGCTGTAGGTTTGGTGAGATTAGAGGCCTGGTGGATAAATATGAACTATCCAGGAAAGTATGAACTTTCTTTTGTGCTAACTGTCCATGAATTTAACTGATCATCAGGATTTTCTGTAGAGTGATGTGAAAGTACATATTGCTCTTTTCTACCTTTGGGTCAGGCCAAAGAATCTTAATTAATTAAATAAATAAAGGTATCGTTGGAATACAATCTTATGAAGGTTTCACATGAGCAACATTGTGGTTACAACATTCACCCATATTATCAAGTCTCCCCCCCACCCCATTACAGTCACTGTCCATCAACATAGTAAAATGCTATAGAGTCACTACTTGTCTTCTCTGTGCTATACTCAGGCCAAAGAACCTTAAGAATCTCTTTTTAAAACATCCCGTGTGGTTCTGGTGCTCAGCCTTTCTCAGAAACCACATTGCTCTCTATCTCATTGTCTTCTGATACAGTGAACCTGATTTGTATTTTGGGGAGCTGTAAGGAGGGAGGGACACTAAACATGTATTAAATGTCTGGTAATTTGTTAATCAGTTTTTCCCATTCTATCATCCAAGAGGAAAAGGAAGGACGAAGAGCTGTTTGCTCAGTCAGAGCACAGGTTTCCCATCTTTCCCTTTACAGCTAGCCTGTAAAGGAAAGCTTTTGTGGGGTTCACAGCTACTAGAGAAACCTTCATCTGAAGAATTAGTATACCTGTTCAGAAGAAAAAGAACCTTTGGAAATGAGAGGCAAGAATAGCAAGGATTTAATCATGATTTCCTCTTAATTCCCTATTTTTTGAGTAAATAAAATGAATATATCTAAGACATGAAATCACTTACTTACTTTTATTGGAGAAAAGTTGCTATATAGTATTATATTGGCTTCAAATGTACAGCATACTGACTCAGTAATCGTATACATTACTAGATGCTTGCCACGGTAAGTGTAGTTACCTCCTATCACCATACCAACAAGATACTGCATTATTATTGGTTATATTCTGTATGTTGTACTTCCATTCCTATGACTAACTTATTTTACAATTTGTAGTTTGTACCTCTTTATCCCTTTTGCCTATTTCACCCATAATCACTTCTTTCTGATATCATTACTCTAATTTGGATATAAAATAAAGAAGAATTTTTCTGAATAGTCATGCCTATGTGCACATGGTGGGCATCTCTCTTCACACTTCTTCCCTCTGAGCCCTGTTTCAGTCTCTGAATCATTCCCCACATAAGATACATTGAAACGAGGTGAACTGTGTTCACCATTCCAGCAGTAGGTACTTCCGGTTTATGTATAGCTTGCATGTAGCTAACTTGTGTGAACATACAGCTTGTACTTGGGATTGAGAGTGGGATGCCGCTAGAATCCCAGAGAGCAAGTAGTGTTTCTGTAGCTGCTATATTCTTGTAGTTTCACTGGTGTGGAGAAACAGTGTCAACTGGGCCCAGAAAGAAGGAAGGGAATGTGTCTGCAGCTCTGCAGTGCTTGTCTGCTCCGAATGGCCTCCCTGCTTTTTCAGAGGATGGGCATTGGGAAGATTGGCTCATCCTTCATACAAATAAGGTCTGTTCTCTGCCAGTATATGGTGTTTCTTACCAAAGAAATGATGTTATTTGTGTAAGTTAGGGGCTCAGGTCAGCCCAGAAGTCCATTTTTATTTTTAAAGTATTGTATCACTTTTTGATAGTTCAGACTTGGTGAGTTAAAAATTTTTGTGGGTTGAGTCTCCAAACCACCATGTATATTACTTCTGTGGGAAAATAAATTTCAAGCTCCAGCTTACAGTCAGTGTGGTATAACAAAACATAAAATGTGTGTTTTAAGTTTTGGTTATTTCATTTTCTACTGGTGTGACCTGGGACTGTTTACTGAGTGAGCTGGGCTTCTTCAACTGAAACGTGGCTATTCCCTCCTGCTTACCTCACAGCGTTGCTGTACAGATCAAAAGAGGTAGTGGGTAAGATGGCCATTAAAATTCTATAATAATGTATAAATGCTATTTATTAGAGCTTTGAAACATATCCCTTAGTTATTTGAAGGCAAACTTGTTCTCTGTCATTTTTCTGATAGCACTTATTAACACTCTAAGGAACAGATACTACAATTCTTTGCCAACCACAAACTATTAACTAGTTATTGTGAAGTGAGATTTTTCTAGAAACGTACAAAAACTGGGAGTTTTGTTGCCAGCCCTTAAATGTTAAGATATAGTAATGGTGTTTGTGTCCCAAACACAGGGTAATTGGTTTGTGGCTCGAGTGGACTCAATGTGGCTTTCCCTCCCACTTAGTAACATGGGAATCCCATCGGTCTGTTGGCTCCGTGGGAGACAGCAGCCTTACCCTCCCCAAGGTGCTGCTTGTTGCTTTTGGTCAGTGAAGATCTTGAGTTAACTGCCAAGAAATTCTTGCTGCTAGAAACCCTGGCAGAGCAATGAGGAAAGTAGTGCTAACAAGAAGACTTCTGCAAGAAGGAGAATCCATGCCACTAAGAAAACTATTCTCCGAACGTTTGGCTCAGTTGTCAACTGTGTTGTTAACCTCTGTTGTGGGTGCAGTATCATGATTAGGTTTTGTGAGGTCTGGTTGGCTGAAATGGGTTTTTAATTTTTTTTGTTTCATTTTTGAGAAGAGGCTGTTTTAAATAGAATTGTATGTTAGACTATGAAATGTATTAGAACATTGTTAGAATTAAATATAAAACATTAGAATTGTGTATTAGACAATAAATACAGAATAAAAATGTAGAAATTTTTAACTATAAATATTAATGATAAAATATCCAAAAGTATGTACAAAAGAAGATCCTTTAGAAATGTTGAGGAAGCAATAATATCTGAGCTGTGCCTTTTGGCCTCATAGGTTGGGCATGTTCTTGAAGAAAACCAGCTTTAGTGAGTTGTTGACCTGGACCTGGTTGGGCCTGTTCTTTTAACAAGGTGGAGTGTCATTGGTCAGTTGGTCTCTAGTAAACCATCCAGAGAATGTTTGAGGTTGCTGTGAGTCCTGCCTCTGAAAGCTGAATGGGAGTCTGCCACCAGGAGTCATTCTGTTGATACTAATAGTTTAGTAAGCTTCCTACAGAGTGTGGGTTTGTGGAAGGCTTTAGATTAACTGACTCTATTCTCTTAAGAGAATCACAGTCCTTAACTATCATGCAACATTTAAATAAAATCAAGATTTAAATTAAATTAAATCAAGATTCAAAGTAAAATATTTGAGGTTTTTTCTTTAGTCATGTCTTTCCTAAGTGTGGAATTCAGTTCTCATGTAGAAATTACCATTCATGTTTTACCTCACATAGAATTCTACCTTGTAATGATTGAAGATTTTAGAGTTAATGGGAAATTCTCATTTTGTTACCTATTTGTTAGCTAATGTTATTAAGCTGTATTTAAAAACATTTTTTTTGACACTTAAGCATTTTAAAATATCAATTGAAACTTAACCTTTACCTGAAAAAATTTTTCATGGACAAATGCTATGTCAGCTAAAGATCGAATCTTAATGCCTGGTATAGTAAGTGATTACCCTGAATCAGTTTTAAAAGAGGATAAATTCTGTTCTGTATCTTCTCTGTAATTGATTAGAGAAGCATGTGATACATATTCCAGGTTTTATTATGAAAGGGCTTAAGGCAAATATTTGTCCCAAATAATACAGAGGGTTGATACCTTTTTCCTTATTTTTTTTAAAAAAGAAAACAAAAATTAGAAAAGCCCAATAGATAATAGTGATTAAATCAACACCTATTTATTGAGTACCTGCTGTGTACCAAATACAATTATTGGTGTTGGGCAAAGGATATAGAAGACAAAATTC